CTGTTGGTTAGGCAGAACTGATGGGTTCAGGGTCTGTGCTTTAAGTTAAAGGTTCTAGGTGAACCAAACTGTATGCTTGTGTGTGTGAGAATAAGCCACGTTACTTTATTTTATTCACCTGATTGTTTTATTTACCCTGTTTGTATTTAAAATAAACCTTATTCTTTTATTGTTTAAAAATCCATCCCTGGTCTGTGTGACTTATTATAGGGAATGGTTGGTGGCAGCTTAGTAACTGTGTGATAGATCCCAGTAGGTCTGGGTTTGTCACAAGTGCCACCATTCATTACGTGAAACACTGCTATTTATAAAAGCAAAAACTATTTAACCGCATGCCAATAGCACATTCTCCTTATTCTTTCCTTCCCACTAGGTGAATTTATCAAGGCACTCTATGAGTCAGATGAGAACTGTGAAGTGGATCCCAGCAAAAGTTCACCTAGTGAATTGGCTGATCACCAGGCGAATCTCAAAATGTGCTGTGAGCTAGCCTTCTGCAAGATCATTAACTCTTACTGGTGAGTGCAGTGGCAGGGTATTTTCCACTGTTCCAGTTGACAATATTTTCCTTGAGAATAAACCTTTATTTTATCTCATAGTGGCTGAAATACTGTTGTTTTCTACAGTACGGGAACTAAAGTAGACCCACTGAGTCAACTTCTCTGTAAGTCCCAGTGATTCAAATGGGCATACTCTGTATCAACATACTATACTAAGTAATAGTCCAATGAATGACTGCTTTGCGTAAGATAAAATGCTATACTAGGAAGCTATTGCTGAGGGAGAGTTCAATTGTAAGCTAGTAGTTGAACCTTGTCGAAAGAAGACCGGGAGAATGTGATGTTGGCCTTATCTCCTGTCCTCTACAGCAGTCATTGTTGTTATTTTTATGTCCTGTCAAGTCACCCTCAACTCATGGAACCTTATGAATGGACAATCTCCAAACTGTCCTGTCCGCAACAGCCCTGCTCAGCTCTTGTAAACTCAAGCCTATGGCTACCTTTAGGGAGTTGGCCCATCTTGTACTTGGTCTTCCTCTTTTCTTGCTGCCTTCCACTTTTCCCAGCACTTTTCCAGAGAATCCTACCTTTGCATGATGTGCCTAAAGTTAGGACAGCCTCACAACATTTTTGCCTCCAAACATAGTTCAGGCTTGATTTGATCTAGGATCCAGATCTTTTTGGCAGTCTGGGGTATCAACAGATCTCCCTCAGCACCGCATGTTATGGAGGGAGGTATAATATTAGGCTTCAACATTACCCATTCTTTCTCTTTATGAATGGCCTAAGCCTAGTGATAGTTCATCATGATTTTCCTAGTGGGGCTCTTGCTGATTGACCTTGCTGTATTTCATGTCTGTGTGCTGTTTCACTTATTTGTAGTGTCTTTCCTCGGGAACTGAAGGAGGTGTTTGCATCCTGGAAGCATCAGTGCCTCAACAGAGGGAAGCAGGACATCAGTGAGCGCTTGATCAGTGCCTCACTTTTTCTGCGTTTTCTCTGCCCAGCCATTATGTCTCCAAGTCTTTTTAACCTCATGCAAGAGTACCCTGATGACCGTACTTCTCGGACACTCACACTAATTGCAAAGGTTATCCAGAACCTGGCAAACTTCACAAGGTAGGTAGCATTGGGTCAAAAAGGAATGATGAAAAAGTATCTGAGTTATTGTCATTGTGATGTCCACTATTGCACAGATAACAGCCATCACCTTATCTCACAAAAATATACAGGAGTCAGTGTATATACAAAAATATTTGGCTTGAAGGTGTATCTGCTTAAAGATAACATTTTACTTCTTCAACTCAACATGCTGAAAATGTTTATTAAAAGAATTCTCCCTGCTGCTCATCAGGTCCAACAATAGTGGCAATACAAACAGGCTTGAATTTCATTGGTCCCTTTATTTACTGTGTGATAAAGCAGTTGGGTTGAGTTTGGGGGCACAATTGCTTGCTCCTGATGCTTGTGTCACAAAGCAACTTTAATTTCTCCCTCAGTGGTAGATATGTAAAATTTCTCCAGAAAAAAAAGGAGGGAATGAGTTTTTTTCTGGAAAAAAATGGAAATTTTCAGAAATTTTACATGTCTACTCAATGGTATCCTTGATTAGGATGCACTGCTTCTTCCTTTGTATGTGAATACTCCCAGGTGTTACTATAAAGTAAAAATATTGGATGTTTAGGAAGCCTTTACACTTTTTGAGAGACTTTTGAGAGACTTCTGCCCACCTAAAGTGGGCAGAAAGAGACTTTGGAAATAACTAGTCACTTGAATTTTCCTTCTCTAGTAAGTAGGGTGCAACTTCTTTTGCTATGTGTTTGTAACCTTTAGTTCCATTGATAATTATAGGGGAGTGGCCTTACTGAATGGCGAAAGAGGAATATCAAATGGTTCATTGGCTTATATTGTTGCTTCATACTCAGCTTTGGATATTCAAGTGGTATAGATGAAAGGAGAATGTGCTTTGTATCATTGCTTGTAGCACTCACATTTTTTAAACTAGCATCAAAAGTAATTGAGAAATTGGAAAATAAATAGTTACTATTTAAACCTGTCTGCGCACAATCCCAGGGCACCCCCGGAAGAAGAAAATGATAAATCGTTTCTTAATATTTATACCTAGAAACCCTTGGAAATGTTCACCATAAGTCAGAATCAACTTGATGGCATACACAGTTCCCCAATTGAAATGCATTAAAGCCGACTCAATGCATTTGAATGGGTTTGTGAAGTCCGTCCAATGCTTCTCAATGAGAGAGAAAAAAAATTCACCAAAAATTAGCGACACCTCAGAACAACACCAAATTAAGTTTGCTTACGTTTCACAAGCTGGACTATCAATGCCAAGCATTTAAAACAGGTTTCAAACAGTTTAAGGCACTTTTAAATGAGTGAAAAGAGACATCGTTGTGCGAAAATTCCCCCTAGGAAACATCGTTGTGTGAGGCGGCAAATTTTTCAGAAAAAGCCATCGTTGTGTGAATTTATCGTTGTGTGAGGCACTCGTTGTGCAAGGCACCACTGTAGTTGGTTGGACTGTGTTACTTGGCCTGCGGTGTAGATGTTGTATTTTTAGTGGGGACTTTTAGTGGGTGGGGAGTGTTGGGGGATTTTTTTAGTGGGTGGGGAGTGTTTGGGGAATTTTATGTGTGCATGTGTCTGGTCTCTGGGTGTCTGTGAATTTCATTGTATGGGTATACTGTGTATATACTTACAATGACTATTATTATTATTATTATTATTATTACTTCTTCAGATGGTCTTCAGTATGCCATATGCGACTTTTTAGTCTTTTTTTTTTTTAAGTTGTGGTTATAACTGCAACTAACAACTTTTTGGCCAATTATATTTGTAAATAATTGTTTTTTAAAGAAACGTTCTAAGCTCAGAGTATATCAGAATGTACTGGTAGATCTGTAACCGACGTAGATTGTATCAATAACCATCCAGATCTCCAGGTGTCGATTTCCTGCATTGGCGGGGAGTTAGACTCAATTATCCTTGAGCTCTCTTCCAGATGTACAGTTCTATGTTTACAGAGGAGTTGACTCACCAAATTCCCATGGACCTGCTGTAGTACAGTTAAACAATAGAATTTTGCCCTATTATTCCAAATTTCTCTAGCTTCCAAATATTTACTAATAATGACATTTAGACCTGAATTAGTATATCAGATGTTGATTTATATTTGTGTATGCTGGTCATCTCTGGAGTACAATAGTCAACTCAGTTTGCCCCAAGCCACCATTCTGCATCTGATTCTAGCTGAAATTCTAGTAAAAACTCAACCAGATCACACGAGCTAGAAGACAACACAAACCATCTGCTGTGCTACAAAATGCATCTTCATGGAATAACTGAAATAATTTCAGCCCATATGCACCCCTGCTTACCATTTAAATAACAGATAAATGGCATTCTGAGGGAGTAACAAGCAATTATTGTAGTAAGTTATTATTTAGTTTTTAACTATGTTTCTTTTAAATACAGTAAGCTGACTTGAGTCCTTCAGGAGAAAAGTGGTATAGAAATATTTTAAACAAACAGACAGACAGACTCCCCTACAACCACAAATTTGGGACAGGGAGTTTGCATAAAGCAAATGGGTTTTTCCTGTTAAAAAATTCCCACATGGGAGTTGGGCTTAGCCAACATTGCTTGAGAGATCTCACCTACTGATACTGAATTTGGACAATAAGATGATGATACTTAATTTTAGAGTTACAAATCTTTTGTAAAATAAATATTGGGAGTGTCATATACTTCTTGACTTTCTCTCTAAAACTTCATGAAGATTCATTGCCCATAATCTGTGCGCTAATTTGATTTCAGTGAAATCAGTGAGATTAAAACTTGAAATTGTACTTTTGGAGTCCAATATGAGCTTTTTCAATTTTAACCTTTCTTACTGAGGGCCAGGCTACATGTGATATTAAACATGTCTTTACATCTAATTTGCAGAGTTCTGTTATGTTTTTTAAATGGAAATTGCATCAGCTTTAACAGAGCTGATCATAAATGAGATCAGAACAGGGTGAAGGGAAGAATGTACAGTAACTGTTTTGTTCCCTGCTACAATAGTGAAGAAAATCCATATTCTAAAGGTGGCATTTGCTTTCAGGGCAAAGATGAGATGAGATTGGTACCAGTAGGGATTGCTTCTCAATATTAGCTCTATGAGATGGATTTTCCTCTAGTTTGCAATAGAAAAGTCCTTCCACATCTACTGCAATATTATTAATATTTAAGTACACGCAAACCAGTGAAATGTGCATTTTAAAAACACACATTATATGCAAAGGTGTCTTATGTACAGTTTTGCATTGAACTATGTTCTAAACACAAAAATACACTAGTACAAGTGATTTATTTATGGGCAGATTACTAGTCAATTCTCTTATTTGTTTAACTGCCCTGGGTCCTTTTTAAGGAGAAATGTGGTTAATTAAAAAAATTATTTCTTTTTCCATCTGATAACAGATTTGTAAAGCCTGTGAAAATTTTCAAAGACAGTCTGATCAGCGATAGTGATGGCTGAAATGATTATGCACAACACAGGAAACATTGGTTCAATGATACTACATTTAGTTTGCACTAAAATTATTGTTTACAGAAATTATAGCCATATAAAAATGGAACCTGCCATTGAAACACAAAAATGGTAGTTCTGGTCTTTAAATAAATAAAATATCTGCATTTGTCTTGAAACCTTTCCACCTTCTCCCAGAAAGGGTGTTAGTTGTCCAGATATGTCTCTCTCTCTCTCTCTCTCTCTCTCTCTCTCTCTCTCCCTCCCTCCCTCCTTCTCCTTTTCCCCCTCTTTTTCCCATGACCAAAATCAAGATTTGGAAACAAAGAAGAATATATTACATTTATGAATGACTTTCTAGAGCACGAGTGGGGAGGCATGAAACGCTTCTTGGCAGAAATTTCTAATGTGGACACAATCTCCAATACGCCCGGATTTGAAGGATACATAGATCTGGGAAGGGAAATTGCTGTCTTGCATTCTTTGCTGTGGGAAGTTGTATGCCAGCTGGACAAGGTAACCAAGTCTGGAGACTGGGGCAAGCAGGCTCACTGAATCTCTGATAGTATGCTAGTAGCAATAAACTTAAGTGTATTGTGTGTAAAAAGCCAGCAAATTGTTTTTGTGGTAGTTGTCTAGAGTTAAATTTAAAGTTATTTTAAAACAGAATTGACCATCACGGCATCATCTGAGCTGTCCAGTAGAATGAATAAAGAGGTTCAGGAAAGTGCATGCATTGCATAGAGCCTTCTGATTCATGTTGAGTAATTATTTTTTGTCCTCTCTCTCTTGGTGTATGCATATATACATTCACCACAAACACAAATACACACACATTGCATATACACATCCCTCTACAAATTTTAATTTTATTTAAGGCAACGTAAGATATTTTTTCTTCCTACCGCCTTCTTTTAACTTTAAATTATTACATTTTAAAATTTCTTTGGCCTCCTTTTAAATATTGGTTTTCATTCCCACCCCACCCAAAAAAGAGAACAAAATTGCTGTGGGTTTTGAGCAGTTAAGCTTAAATGATCCACCACAGTGTGCTTGGTGTTGACAAAAGAAGGGAGGAGAGGATATATGAGAAGTTAGGCAACATTATGCCTGAATTGGGCCTGATGCACCTGGCAAAGAAAGACCAAAAAATTGGCCCATGATTATCATTTTTCAGAGACTCATTCCCATCATTCTTCTAATTTTTAAAATCCAGTATTGATGTTCATAATTTTTAAAAAATAAATTATTGTAGCAGGCTATTTTTCTTCAAAGAATCAGAGTTCTTTCAGTGGTAGAGGGAACTATGGTTGTTACTCCATGTTTCATGAAATGAAAATATGTTGTTAATTGAATTTCCTGTCAGTCCTGTTAACAAGTACAAGAACCTTACTGTTGCATTGTTTGATTTTATGAAATGGTACAGTTCCATACAGTATGTACCTCCTTCTTTACGTAGCCCTATCCTATTTTATGCTCTAAAACTCACTTGTTTCTAGAGGGCTTTATTTAGAAAGGCAGCTCCTCCAAGGTCACTGGAGTGACTGCATGTCTTGGTGTAACTTGTGCTTCCCACTAATTTAGCTGCATGAAGTCACTTAAACAAGATTTATGTCACTTGGGAATGAAAAAGTGGACTGCTGATATGTGAGAGCTGCTCTTAAAATCAAAATGGCCCACAAAATGGCTCACAGGTGGCAGGTTATGTGCCATGGCGTACTTGTGTTTTCTTTTCCCGTGCAGTGAAATGATGACCCACAAGGTCAACTACTGTATGTCCTTTGTCATAGTGATCAAGCAACAGAATAAATCCATGGAGGCAGAAATCACTTGGGATGTCATTTAAAAAGCATTGGGACTGCCAGTGTGCTTCAATTTTAAATTTAAGCAGAATGGCTATTCATAATGACAGGTTAAAGGCAAAGGCTGATTTAAAGAAATACATTTGTACACCACACTTTCCCATGCTTCTTTTCAGTGCTGTCACAAATCCCCTGATTGCCAGTATCCCTGTATTTATATGCATGCATTTCTCTGACTCTTATTCCCTCACTTCCTCTCATCCTTGAGGAGGCTGGAAATATCTTTACAACAGAATGACTGCAGTTCTCTGTGTCCCGTTTAATCAGTAGTGATGTTAGTATTCCCCAACCCTACCCCCGAATGCAGTTTGCTTTGCATGACAGGTTTACATTGGAATGACATTAGTCTGGTTTTGTTGAGCATGGACTTTTTATTTTGGGGGGCCTGTTTTTAATTTCTATTTCCTTTTCTTTCCTCGATGTCTGCTGCACCCTGTTTCGTCTCCTCCATACGTCTGGTCGCCGTGGTTCTGCTGCTCCATAACAATGCATTGTGGTTGTGCCACACAAAAACACAATCCCACCTTCTTTCCTTCCAACTTCCACTCTTCCACCCATGTTGATCATTGTTTTACTTAAAAAAAAAACATTCTAAATTTAAAACCCCAAAACTGAAATGGCAAATGCCATGGTGCTTACTGTCGAATCAGGGTGAAAATTCCTTTCTACAGGCAACAGTAGAAAAATTGGGACCCTTGCCCCGTATCCTCACAGACATCACGAAGGCTACAACAAATCCCACACCTATCCAGCAACAGTTGAGACGTTTGGGAGACCATAATTCAAGTCCCAATGTCAGCCTCTCCTCAGGGCTGCAAAAAATATTTGAGGACTCTACTGACAGGTATGTGGGGTCTGAATATCTCCAGGGCTGTGGGAAGCTAAGACAGACTCATTCTCACCCAGGTGGATCATTCATTCCTTGAAAAGGGGGAGTTAAAATCCAGAGTAATCGGGATGACTACTAGTGTAGCAAGATCTTGGCTTTGCCTTAAGGAAATACAATAATTTAAGCAATAATCTAAGGCCCTCTGGATCCAAAGCATGCACTCCACCAATCTGAATTGTACCCTCTCTCCTAAAATCACAAGGGGTGTGTGTGTGTGTGTGTGTGTGTGTGTGTGTGTGTGTGTGTGTGTGTGTGTGTTTGCACTTGCGCATGCGTGCACACACTTCATTTTTTAAAAAAGCGAATAAGTCTGTGTACTCCTTGTGCAAAATTCAAAAACAAGGCTCGGCAGTTCCACTAAATCTCACAAACAGGCAAGCTTTCAAGTCTTAACATGACTCTTAGTGAGGCTGGACATTACAGAACTGAGGGTGGAAGGGACCGAAGATCATCTTGGGGAGAATCTGAAACAAGGCTCTCTTGTTTAAAATAAAGTTCCAAATGTTACTCTAAATATGTGCCCAGTTTTGTAATGCCCAACTTTTTTTTTTCAATTTATATGCCGCCCACACTACCCAGAGGTCTCTGGGCGGCTTACAATAATTAAAATTCAATACAGTAAAAGATAAAATAATTAAAATACAATTAAAAT